AGGCTGGCTCCTCGCCGGGCCGGGGGCGGCTTCTCCCGGGGTCGCACGGCGGCTCCTTCGCGGGAAGGCTGGGGGTCTGCAGCCGGGAGAGGCCGCGGGGCGTCCTCCGGGCTCACGGGACCGAAAGGAAACCCAGAAGCCCTCGGTCACAGCACTCACGTCCTGGAGGCGTCTCGCTCCGTGGGGATGCCCTGGGGTCCCCAGCGCGCACATGGCAACGTGGCGTCCAGGGCTGGAGGTCGTGTGCAAGCGCCCAGCTTGTCTGTTTCTGGTTTTGTGAGACAGGGTCTCGCTGTATAACGCAGGTTGGCGTCAAACTCACAGCGATCCCCCTGCCTCAGCCTCCTGAGTGTGGCTGTTGCAGGCCTGGACCTGGACCACCACTCCTGGTCCTGGCTTCTTTTTTAATTCTTGCAGTGCTGGGGCTGGAACCCAGGGCCTCACACGTGCTAGACAAGTGCTCCACCACTGAGCCACACCTCAAGCCTATTTAAAAAAAAAAAATCATTTTGAGGTATCTTGGTGAATTGCTCCGGCTGGCCTCAAACTGGAGATCTTCCTGCTCTTGGGTAATGGGTTACAGCTGTCCACCCCCCACACATACTCTACTCCCGCCTGTGTAGCAGAGCGTCCACAGGAGGGGCAGCCTGAAGGCTCCTTCCCCCAGCCTCTTCCCACCTGGGAGGACCCCAGCTCTCTGGGGGTGTCCTGGAGGAGCATAGATGAGCGAGACACTGACTCACACCGCCAGTGTCCTGTGTCAGGCTGAGGCCAGAAAATGGGGCAGTCCGGGCAGCAGCCTGAGCTCGGCCTAAGCGTTTAGGCCTCTGTCTTCCCAGGGAGGCCTGGCCAGAGGAAATACCTTCTCTGAAACTTGGTTGTCCTACGTCAAGGTGACTCTGGCAGCTGGGTGGTGGGCTCTCTGCCATCGCACTCATCACATTTTTTTTTTTTTTTTGGTTTTGTTTTGTATTTGGAGACGGTCTAGCTATGCATGACAAGCACTATCTGAACTCACTCTGTATCCCAGGCAGGCTTCAAACTTGTGGCAATCCACCTGCCTCAGCCTGTTGAGTGTTGGGATGACAGGTGTGCATCAACATGCTCAGCTTTTTTTTTTTTTTTTTTTTTTTTTGGAGACAGGGTCTCACTGTGCAGTTCAGGCTGGCCTTGAGCTCACTTTGTAGCCCAGGCTGGTCCAGAACTCACAGCGATCCTCCTGCCTCAGCCTCCCAAGTGCATCAGCCCTTTTTTTTTTAAGTTCTTTTTCTCCCCGCGGGTGGTGCGGGGGAGGGGCTCAGGGCCGCACACACACCAGGCAGGCGCTCACCAGACCTCACCCAGCCCCCACACAGCTTTCAAGTTCTTCAGGGTCTGGGCTGAGGACAGAGAAAATGCTAAGAGAAGGTCACTGAGGGCCTAGGGGACATCCTGTCCTGCTGCCCCCTCCTCACCTGCGGGGTCGCTGGGTCCCGCCTCCCCATCTGCCTCCTTGGGTGGCGAGCGGTTTCGCGCCAGGATTCACCGGGCTATTTCCCAAGCTGTGTGGGCGCCGGCTGGGCCGGTGCATGACTTGGCAGGGACGAAGTGCACGCCCGCCGTGAGTTCCCCGTCTAGCTGGGGAGACAGGTAATAAATAAACAAGATAATTAGAGGCCGGCGGCCATAATGGGAACAAACAGCCGCTCCCAGAGGGTGGCTAATAAGAGGGCTTGGCCAAAGGAGGTGACGCTTTTAGCAGCAGCCGCCCGGGAAGGTCTGGGGAGGAAGGGCAGGGCGGGAGCGGCCAGCGGGCCGCGGGAGGCTTTTGTCCGCGGCCAGCCCAGGTGCGGGCGTCGCCCCTTCTCCTTCGGACCTGTGCCGCGAGCCCCGGGCCCCAGGCAGGCCTGTGTGCGCCGCGGCTCCTCCCGAGCAGAGGGCGGCCACGTGCCCGCCCGCAGCGCCCGTGTGCCCTCCAGGCTGGCGGGCGCTGGCGCGGCGCAGCGAGGAGCCCGAGCTTGCAGCCCCGCTTCGGCAGCTGCCGCCTCTTCCTCCTTATCGCGCCTCCAGGAAGCCATGCGGGAAGCGGGCTGGGCCTGGCTTCCTGTCGGCTCCGCCCCCGCGGCTCTCGGAAGCCCCGCGGTGGAGGGTCCTGACCCCGCCCCAGCCCTCCTTGCCCTGGAGGAGCAGGACGCCCGCAGAGGCTCTAGGTGCTGGCCCAGGGCTGCTGTCACCCCACGAGGCGTCCCTGCTGTGGCCTCTGGTGCCGGGACCCCCGACTCGACCTAGGCCCTGCCACCTGGGTCGCCCTCCTCTCTGGAACTCCAAGGCATCCCAGGTCATGCTCTGTGTTCCAAAAATGCAAAGAACTGATTCTTTCCCAGTTGGAAAGGTACCGTTGAGGCTGGAGTGGGCTCCAAGGAGAGCAGGTGGAGCTCATGAGAGGCCCCAGAAAAGGGGACCAAGTTGGGGGCCTGGGTGCACCCTTGGCCCGGGGTGCTCTGGAGGCTGAGAGCAGGAGGGTTGCTGGAATCTAGGATTTCAAGGCCAGCCGGGGCCGCTTAGTGAGCCCTTATTTTAAATCAAAAACAAAAGCAAAAAAAAAAATCCTCTTATTTGTTGTAAAAAAAATTTGTGCACCGCCCGGTCATCCCAGCTCTTGAGAGGCTGAGGCAGGAAGATTGTCAGAAGTTTGAGGCCACCCTGGGTTACACAGCAAGACCCTGTCTCAAAATAAAAAGAAGAAAAAAAAATTATGGATGATAGAAAAGGAACGCCGGGCGTGGTGGCGCATGCCTATAATCCCAGCACTCAAGGCTGAGGCAGGAGGATCCTTGCGAGTTTAAGACCAGCCTGGGCTGCATAGGGAGACCCTGCCTCGAAAAGAAAAAGAAAAGGAAAATCCTGAAAGCGCACCTTAGTTGGGTGAATATTTAAAGGACTTCCACACTCACCTTGTGAACCGTCTTTAAAGCCTATTTCAATAGCTGGGCATAGTGGCACACATGTCATCCCAGCTACTCAGGAGGCTGAGGCAGGAGGGTCACAAGCTCAAGAGACCCTGTCTTTAAAAAGCTGGGGGTGGAGTTCAGCAGGGCTCTTCCACAGATGTGAGAAGCCCAGGGCTCTGTCCCTAGCACTGGGAGAGGAAGAGCAAGCCCAGCTCCCCACAGAGCTGTGTAGCCAGTGGGTTTGCCCTTCCAGGCCAGGCTTCAGCACTGCTTTGGTTGGGACCTGGCTCCTCCCATCTTCCTGGAGGACAGGGAAACAGTGGCGGGGTGGCGCAGCCCTGGGGAACATGGTCCAGCATCTGAAGATGGGAGAGCTGCGGAGGTGCATGTCCTCCTTATCACGTGGGGCCCACTTGCGTGGAACCTGTGCGATCCTCTTGAGGCTTTATTTTACTTTGCTTAGGTGTTCTGTTATGTTTGGCTTTTTGAGGCAAGGTCTCACCATGGATTTCAGGCTGGACTCAGACTCGAGGCAGTTCTCCTGCCTCAGCGAATGACAGGCATGCATCGCCACACCTGGCGACATGATTTTTTTCTTGAAACAAGGTCTCACTATGTGGTCCAGGCTGTCCTTGAGCTTGTGATCCTCTTGCCACAGCCTCCCTGAGAGCTGGGATTCCACGTCTGTGCCTCTGTACTGGCTTCCAACTTTATCTCCTTGAAGTGAGCTGAGTCCTAGAGTGCAGAAGGTGTGGAGTGTGCCGGGCCCGGCGTGGTGGCGCATGCCTGGAATCCCAGCACTCAGGAGGCTGAGGCAGGAGGATCGTTACAAGTTCCAGGCCAGCCTGGGCTCCATAGTGAACTCAAGGCCAACCTGGACTCACAGCAAGACGCTGTTTCAAAAACAGGGCAGCGGGGATATCATGGCTGCAACACGTCTGGGGACCCGTGTAGTAGACTGCAGGGGCCGCTTGCCGTGCCGCTGGCCGTGGCGTGCACTGTGAGAGAGGCACAGGCCAGGAGGGGCGGTGCGCAGTGCGGGCCGGTGCCCTCCTCAGCCCGCCCGGCCCGAGCGCCTGGCCGCAGTCCGAGGCGTCAGAGGCTGTGTTTGCCTTGCAGCTGCCCCTGTCGCTGCTGAAGACGGCGCAGAACCACCCCATGGTGAGTGTGCGGGCCCGGCGGCCCGTCCCCGTCAGGCCCCGGCCCAGTGCTTTCTGCGCCTTGCAGGAGCCGCACGCCGGGCACCGGCTTCCAGGAGTGGAGGTGGGAGCGGCGTGGGCGCCCTCCACGCGGGCACGGAGCCGCTCCCCCATCGTGCCAGCACCCTAGCACTCTGGAGGCTGAGGCTGGAGGATCGCGAGTTCTAGGCCAACTGAGGCAGCATAGCAAGCGCTGACTCAGAACGGGAGATGCGGAGCGCTCAGGGCCCTGGGTGCCGCGGCCACGCCCCGTGGGTCCGAGCGAGGCTGGCGGTGTCGGGGCTGGGCTGGGTCCACGCCCCAGGGCTCCGGAGCCCCCGACCCCGGGTCCGTTTCTCTTCAGCTGGTGGAGCTCAAGAATGGGGAGACGTACAATGGGCACCTGGTGAGCTGCGACAACTGGATGAACATCAACCTGCGAGAGGTCATCTGCACGTCCCGGGTGAGTGCCGCCCGGCTGCGGCTGGGCGTCCCTGCTTTCCATGCAGCGAAGGCCCTGCCTGCGCCCCAGGGGGAGTGGGGACCTCTGGGCTGGTGACCCTGTGGCCTGGAAGCTGCCCTGGCTTGGAGCAGGGGCTGGGGTGTGCCAGGTCCCCCACAGCCGTGCCACGCACCTCCCTGTCCACTCCCTTGTGCCATTGCCCGTGGGCTGTGGGGATGGCGCTGTCATCCAGTGCGTGAGTCCTCTGGGTGTGGCTGACAGGCCGGACCTGGAGTCCCCAGGGTGGAGCAGGTAGGGGCCTTGGGGGCCATGGGGATCCGCACACCAAGAGACCTGCCCTCAGTTCCCAGGCCGCACCGGGCGTGGTGGCGCACACCTGTGATTCCAGCACTCGAGAGGCTGAGGCAGGAGAACCGTTACAAGTTCGAGGCCAGCCTGGGCTACAAAGTGAGCTCCAGGCCACCCTGAACTGTATAGCAAGACCCTGTCTCAAAAAGACCAAAAAAAGGAAAAAAATTCCCAGGCCGCATGGCCCACGCTGAGTGGACGGGCTTGCCCCAGGGAGAGGGACTTCCGCCTCAGCTCAGTGGGCAGGAGGGAAGCCTGCCGTCAGCCCCTCCCGGGTGGGTGGCAGTGGCTGGCCCCGTGGAGATGTGGGCACAGGTGGCTGCGGGATGGACAGAGCCCAGGGCCTCCCCCAGCCCCGCACCAGGGTGCGGGGCCACCCTCATCCCGCCTGTTTCCAGCTCCTGAGCCTCCAGCTCTGTCTGCCTGTGGCCCAGCCCTCTGGGGCATGAGCACCCGGCTGTGGGTCCCCGTGCGGCCCGGAGAGGCCTCAGCTGCACCTCTGTGTCCCTTCCCGTGCGTTGCCCGGAGCCAGGCAGGGACTGTAGCTGTCCCGGACAGAAGGCGGGTCGGCGTGCAGCTCCCCAGCCTCGTGGAAGGCTCCAGCTGTACTGCAGCGGGGTGGGCATCTGCAGCTCACCTGGGCACCCTGTGCCTAGCTCCATCTGCTCGGGAGAGCAAACGATGGCATGTGAGGGGGGCTGCTGGGGCGTGGGGACCCCCAGCCCGGGCCGAGACCCTGTTGTAGTGCAGTAGCCTCGGTCAGCAACACCCGGCCGGACCTTGGGCAGAGGAAGGCGCCGGTGTGCGTGGTGCTGCGGGAGGCAGCCCGCCCCGTGCCGTCTGCCCGCAGACGGCTTGCCGCTCCAGGGAGGTGCAGGGCCAGGCGCGCCGCAGGCTCGGGGCGCCCTGGGTTCTGACCCTGGTGCTGCACACACAGCAGTGGGGAGCAGGGCCTCGCGGTGGGAGTGGAGGCGGCCCCGGCCGTGCCCCTGCATGCCCAGGGGGGCTCCTGGCGGTCACCGCGGGGCTTCTCTCCAGGACGGGGACAAGTTCTGGCGCATGCCCGAGTGCTACATCCGCGGCAGCACCATCAAGTACCTGCGCATCCCCGACGAGATCATCGACATGGTCAAGGAGGAGGTGGTGGCCAAGGGCCGCGGGCGCGGCGGGCTGCAGCAGCAGAAGCAGCAGCGCGGCCGAGGCCTGGGCAGTGCGGGCCGAGGTGGGTCCCGCGGGGACAGCCTGCTCCCTTTGAGGCTCCGGGATGGCGGGCGGGCCCGCTTGGGGTGCCCAGGCTCGGACAAGGGTGCAGGCTGGGTGGAGGCCCTCAGGTCACTGTACAAGGCAGGGCTCCCGCAGGGCTGGCAGAGGTAGTCTCGCCCCAGCCCTTGTCATCCTCTGTCCCCCAAACTGGGCGGCCAGCGCTGGTGAGAGCCCGGACCCCGCCTCCTGGGCTGAGGTGCAGGGGACGCCGCCATGCTGCCATGGGTGTTGGCCCTGGCGCTCTGCCAGGTCCAAGCACGAATGAAGTCCCTTATGGGTGGAGGGGTGGGTGGAGGCCAGCTGACACCCGCTGCCTCCTGGCCCGGGGGAGCTGGGGGATGTGCCACGTGGCCTCTGGCACCCCTGGGGCTCCTTGGTGCCCCACCCCTGACCCCCAGCCTCCAGCGGCAGTGGGCGGAGTCCCTGGGCGTCTCCTGGGAAGCCCCCCCACATCGCATAGCCTCCCTGCCACCCCGGGCGGAGTGCCCACATCTGGCGTCCCACATCTGTGGCGAAGCCGGGGCTCCCTGCGGCCGCTGCAGTGCTCTGTCCCCTCCTGCAGGTGTGTTCGGCGGCCGGGGCCGCGGCGGCCTCCAGGGCACCGGCCGGGGCCAGCCTGAGAAGAAGCCGGGCAGACAGGCGGGCAAGCAGTGAGGCCTCTGCTGCGGGGGCGGGGCCTCCCCCTCCTCAGGCAGCCATGCGCCCTGGGCAGCCCTGCGGCTTCTGTGACTTTGCCGTCCCTGCAGCGGGCCGGTGCTCTTCAAGGCGGCTGGGGTCCGCAGCTTCTCCCGCGCCGCGGCCGTGGGTCTGGTTGGTCGCGGCCTGGCCCTGGCACCAGCCCTGTGTGTGGCAGCCGACAGCGGCTGCGCCCTGGGCCCCGCGCTGCCCTGCGCAGAGCCCACGCCGAGCCGGCGCCTGGGGTCTGCTCCTTCCGCTTCCCCTCTTGCAAAATAAAAGCAACTGCACTGAGAGGCTGCGAGCCCGGCCCGCCCCTGTCCGCATCCCAGTCCCTGTCCCGTCCCCCCGCTGGGGAGGTGACAGCCTCCTGCAAGCGCTTCCCTCCCCAGCCGCCGGCTCACCAAGTGGAAGTGGCCCACGGGGTCATCCAACCGAGGGTCTCCCGTGGACACAGTGCGGGCTGGGACCGGGGCCAAGCTGTGCGTGGCGTCCTCTCGCCTGGACTGGCGTCTGCCCCATGCCAGTGCTGTCCCCCAAGGCCACTGCACGAGCTGTGACCGTGGCCGAGGTGGAGACGCCTGAAGCCCTGACCACATCACAATGCCCATGTCGCAGCGTGGCGTCTGCCCTGCCGTGGGGCAGCATCTCCGGGGCGTCGTGTGGATGAAGGGGAGGAACCACGGGGACCCAAGACCGTGCTGCCCCTCGCTGGTCCCCACGGCCAACCGGGCCAGGCAGGAACTCGGTACTTTCGCACGTGTCCCCACTGTAGCTGGTGTGGGGACGCTGGCCGGGTCCCGCCTGTGCCTCAGTGACGGAGCCTCTGGGGAGGGACGGACAGGGTCTTGGGCCCTGCACAGGGCGGTGGCACGTCTGGGCCTCACGCCACCTCCTTGAAGGGCCGTGGACGTCAACCAGGCCCTGGTGTGGAGTTTGGGGAGGCCAAGCCAGTGGTGCCCCTGCCCCCGGTGTCCTGCAAGGGGCAGCTCTGCGGTGGCCAGCTTGCCCTGGTCCCTGCTGTGCAGCTCCTGACCCGCGCCTGCTCATGTCATCCTGCTTCTCGGAGCCCCAGCCTGCCCTTGGCGTGTGCCCACCGGCACTCACGCGCCCTCCCACCCCACTGTGTGCACCGGGTGCGATGGCTTCCAGAAGCTTTCGTGCTCTCAAGCCTGGCTGGTTTCAGGAAGTCAGCTGCCACACCAGAGAGAAACCAGAAGTCATCGCCTGCTCCTGACTCCGCCTCCAGGGCTGTGCAGCCCACGGCTCTGTGGGGCCCGGCCACCCTGTCCCCTGATGCAGCCTCCTGTAGGGCCCCAGGGCTTGTCACCAAGTCCTCATGGCGGTGAGGCTGGTGCTCTAGGTGCAGTGACCCAGCTGTCCCGTTGCCCTCCTGCGGGGGCAGGGATGTGGAAGCAGCTCTTCCCCACTCCTGTCCCCTCCCACGGCTAGACCCTGGCCCCAGCTGGGCACCTCCTGCCCCGGCAGCATGCATCCGCCGTGTCCCCCGCCACGGCCATACAGGGATGGTGAGTCGGCCTGGGGTCCGCGGCAGGAAGCGCAGGCGGCTTGGCCTGGCCAGGGGGACTGGGGCCGCCCACCCTGTCCCAGCACTAAGGGGGCCCCAAGTCAAGAAGAAAGGGTCAGGGTGGGCATGTGACAGGGCAAGAGGTGGTCAGGAGGACTGGGGATACAGCTCAGTGGCACAAGTGCCTGCCTGGGAAGCACAAGGTCCTGAGTTCAATTCCCAGTACCAACAAAAAACAAAAGTTCTCAGGGAAGTGGGCTGACACTTGTGATGGGGGGACTGCAGAACTTCCCAGACAAACAGCCATGCGAAGGCCCTGTGGCAATAGAGGAGTGCATGAGGGACAGGAAATGGGGTGGAGGAGGAGGCAGGCCCGTGTGCGGTGGCAGCCCCAGGGGGTCTGGGTTCCAACTCGAGATCCTCCTGCCGCAGCCTCCCAGAGTGCAGGGACCATAGCGTGCACAGCACACCCAGTCTCGCAGCTCATTTTCCTGGTGGCCTGGGTCTGACCTGACGCAGCCTTGCAGCAGCTTCTGTGCGGTAGGCGGCTGAGGCATGAGCTTCCACGCAGTCCTGTGGGTTTCCAAAGCGGCTTCCCTGAGGCTCCAGGGCCAGGGGCGCAGTCCCTGCAGCTGCCGCCGTTTACCTGCTGTTCCTGCTCCTGCAGCACACACACGGGGCTGGGACCCGGCCTCCCGCTGCTCCAGCCTCCAGCCCCTCCCTGGCCCGGGACTCAGCTGCGCAGGCAGGAGCAGCCCCGGCTGGGGCGGGGGGAGTCACCCGCGCCTGCTGGAAACCTCAGCCCCGGGGCTGGTGGTGCCCCAGGTGCCACTCCAGCACCGCCAGGAAAAGTGCCCAACTGCAGCATCTGCTGAGTGACGGCAGGCCTGGGGACCTTTAAGGTGCTGGTGAGCGATGCCCCCGCCTCCGTTTCCTCACCAGGAGGCCAACAGCAGCTGCACCTCACATGGGGTGTTGAGGGGCACAGATGGAGGAGGCAGCCAAGTGGGGACCCACCTGGCATACAGCAAGCGCTCAATAACCACACAGCCTACAGGCAGTGAGTCCTCAATGAATGCACAATGCCATCCGCAGGTTAGAGCCGGCCTGGCGTGTGGTGAAGGCCCAGTAAGTGCACAATGCCATACCCCTTTGGGAACCAGCTTGTATACAGCAGGCACTCCATAAACGCACAGCGCCATCTCAGAGTGGCAGCTTGAGCAATCCCTGCCAGGCCTCTGACCCTCTTCAGCCTCCTGAGCTATGGGGGGGCAGGCAGTGACTTGTAGGGCAGGGGGACCTGGGGATTTCCCCACTAGCGGCCCTCCCTGTGACCGCAGCCAGGCCGCTGTCCTCTGTGTCCCCGAGGCCACGACCCTGCTGTGAGCCCCTCCTGGCCACAGCGTGACTCAGCCCTGCCCCGCCTCTGCTGGAACCGCGCCGAGATAGTCGCCCGGCTGGCTCTCGGGAGTGGCCGAGGAAATGCTTTGGAGCTGCCTTCAGCGCCTAAAAATATTTGCTGCGTCTTCCAGCCCCGCACTGGGCCACTCCTCCCTCCATGCCTCGCAGGACGGCACCCCACGGGAGGGGAGGGGGACCCGGGGCCCAGGGACCTTATCCAGGGGACCTTCGCTGCCTACTGTTGTCCTTTAAAATGTGTGGGGCTCAGTGGCATGGCGTTTGTAATCCTGGCTACTCAGGAGGCTGAGGCAGGAGGACTGCAGACTCACGGTCAGCCTGGGCAACCGAGACTCTGTCTTGCAATAAAAGGAAAACAGGAAAAAAAACCACATAAATAATAAAAAATAAAAGGAAAACAGGAGTGGAAACGTGGCTCAGTGGTGAGTGCTTCCCTAGCAGGCCCGAGGCCATGGGTCCCCCCTACATCCCTGACACAGCTTCCTGCCATAGCTCCTGCAGCCCACCTCTGCTCTCCTAACCCCACGCCCTTGGCCCTTCCGGAGCGCCACGGCAGGCAGGGGCAGCGGGGTCGGGGAGGATTGTGCATTTCAGATTTGACCACAGTTGCCTCGGGTCCAGCAAGCAGGAGGGGCAGCTGCAAAGGCCCTGAGGCAGGTGCAAGCTGGGTATGTGGTTCCTGCAGCCAGGGATGCTAGCACAGCTTGGCACCTGGCCGCCCGCTCCTCCTCCTCCTCCCAAAAGGTGAGTTGGCTCACATGCACTCAGGCTGGCCTCCTTGACCCCTGGTCTTTACGCAGAGGAAGTTTTCACAGGCTTACTTATTATTTACTTATTTTTGAGGCAGGGTCTCACTATGTAGTTCAGGCTGACCTTAAACTCATTACATACCCCAGGCTGGCCTCCAAAGTGCAGAAATTCTTCTGCCTCAGCCTCCTGAGTGCTGGGATGACAGGCACGTGCCACTGCACCCAGCTTTGAAAGTGAACCATTTTTGTTTTTGTTTTGAGGCAGGGTCTTGCTGTGTAGTTCAGGCTGGTCTTGAACTCACAGCAGTCCTCCTGCCTCAGCCTCCTGAGTGCTAGGATGACAGGTGTGCACAGCTTCAAATTAACCATTTTAAAACTCATAATACAGTGCAGCCCCTGCCTCTGTCTGCATGCCTATGTGCGCTTTCTTGGCGGAAAACCCTGCCCTTGCCCATACCAGCCTGGCAGGTGAATCTGCTTCCTGTCGGAGTCAGCTGCCCCATGGCACTTCCTATAAACAAGGTCCCTCACCTGTGCGGTGGCTCTAGCTTCTGACACTCAGCTTGTTATTATTATTATTACTGTTTCATTTTTACTTTGTTTTGTGGTGCAGAGTGGGTACAGAACCCAGGGCCTCAGCATTCTCAAAAGCTCCCACCACTGAGCCGCACGGGCCTCCAGGGCTTTCTGCAGCCTCTCAAGGGGCGGCTCTAGTGACCCCGCCCCGCCCGGGAAGCAGAAGGCACCTGGCCACCTCCTGGACCTCTGCTCCATAGCAGGGAGTACAGAGGATTAGCAGGGACACCAAAGAGCCAGGCATTTTCTGGTCAGCGGGCTGTGCAAAGGTCCTGTGGTAGCCAAGCTGTGCACGAGGGGCCACGGGTCTAGGATGGACTTGGAGGGGCGATGGAGACAGGGGCATAGAAGGGGCGTGGTGGGCAAGAGGCTGTCCTCACCTTGCCCTGCCGCAGACTCCACTTGCTCTGGCCAGAAGAGTGCCAGTGTGCCCCGGCACCCTGGCAGTGTGGGCGCGCTGAGCTGCAGAGCAGGGACGCCGGGGCTGGGAGGTACAGGACCCCGTGGGGCGTGGTCCAGGTCAGCGCTGGGAGAAGCGGGAGATGAAGCCACCCTGGCCCTCCGGGCGGCCGCGGGCTGCAGGTGGGGGCTGGGCACCCAGCGGGTACCAGATGCCGATACCTGCCTGTGCGGCTGAGTCAGCGTCGCCATGGCAACCCGGGCCCTGCCGGATGCTCCTGCGGGCGCGTCCCTGTCTTCGCGGGCTGTCACCGCCGCCTCCTCGCAAGGGGCAGGGACAGGGGAAGCGGTTATTTTTACCCAGGTTTCGGGCAGCACCCGAAGACCGCGATGCCTGCTCGCATGTGTCCACAGCAATCCGATGTCGCCCAGCAGGGTGGGGGACCACACGGGCCGTACACACCAGACAAGAGCGGGGCCAGACCTGGGTAGCGGGGGAGGACAGGGAAACAGGCCACCTCGGGAGATGTGGGGGACTAGGGCGGTCCCCAAACTTGAGCCTCCCGTGTCCTCTGGGCTCTGGTGGGAAACTGAGGCAGCGAGAGCGGCCCTCCAACTCTCTACCGCGTCTCCACCGCTCCAGGCCCGTCTGAGCTGTTCTCCCTCAGGCCAGGAGTCACAGACCAGGGCCCTGGCACACGCCAGGGAGGCCTGGCCGTTCCCTCGGGCTCTGCCCCGCACCCTCTCTGCTCCCTCCTGGACTCCGACCCTCCCTTGGCCTGCGAGTCCCTCCCACCCCTGCCATCCTTTGGGCTGTTGCCCCTGCCCACATCCGCCGCGCTTCCCTCACCTGGTGCGAGGAAGGACGGACCCGGGTCTCAGGGGCAGGACGGGATGGCCCGGGGGTCTGCGTCCACGCACATACTGATCGTATCATTCTCAGGGCCACGGGGTCCCCGCTGGCCCGGCGGTGGGGTGCTGGGTCTTCTACACGCAACACAAACGTTCGGCCATTGAGCCGCTGCCCTGGCACTTTTTTTTTTTGTTTTGAGACAGTGTTTCCCTAACTTGCCAAGCTGGCCTTGATCCTCCTGCCTCAGCCTCCCAAGTAGCTGGGATTACCAGCGAGCATCATGAGGCCTAGTTGGGGCCATGTCTTCAAGCTCAGGGGTGCTGTCCTGTCGGAATGCACAGCCTGGGGAAGAGCCCTGTGCCTAGCGCCTCCCCGCCTCTGTCCCAGGACTCTTATCTTACCCCTCCCTATCTGGGCTGGGCTCCTATCAGGGACCTGATCCAGCCCTAGGTCCACCACGGCTCAAATTAGGGCCGGGCCGGCCGGCGGGGAGGGGGTTAAGCCGGGAAGGGACTCCCGGCGCAGCCCTGCGTTTAATTAGCAGCCGGTACGAGTGGGGGAGGGGGAGGGGAGGCAG